TTTCCAGGGTTAGTAGCAATAAAACAAACAAATCATAAACTAGAATCTTCCAAATCCTGAGCATGTTAGGGAAAACAAAGAAAGAATGTGCCGTGGTTTGAATATGATTTGGCTTGTAGATTTGAATGCTTGGTGACCAGGAAGTGGCACTATTAGGAGGTGTGGCCTTATTGAAGCAGGCATAGCTTTGTTGGAGGGAATGTGTCAGTGTGGGTGGGTGGACTTTGAGGTTTCAAATGCTCAAGCCCAGCCCAGTGACTTGGTTCTCTTTCTTCCTTCTGCTTGCCTATCATGATACAGACCTCTCAGTTCTTACTCTAGCACCATGTCTTCCTACATGCTGTCAAGTTTCCTGCCATGACAATAAAAGACTAAACCTGTGAACCAGTAAGCCAACCCCAATTAAATGTTTTCCTTTATAAGAGTTGCCAAGGGCATGGTGTCTCTTCACAGCAATAGAACATAGACTAAGATAGAATGTTTAGATAGTATTAATAAATTAGTTTCAGGGATTCATGAAACTCTATCTTTGAGACAGATATGAATAAATTTTCAGACTTTATAACCCATGAAGGAACACAGGAATATTAGAAAAGACACTCAGCCAACTCTCAGAACTGTAAAAAATGAAACAGTATATTTCCAGATAACTATTTTTAAGTGATATGCTGTACAGCAAAACAAAATAGAAGAAGCATGTAGATCTGAAAAGTTGGTTATGAACTGAAAATAGAGACATGAATTTACTAGTTTAGGGAATCACACTAAGAAATCAGAGGCACAGCACTTATCCTCAAGAAATACAAACAGAGATAGAAGATGGCAAAGAAAGACTTATAGTATATGAGGGGAACAAGGAATGATGTCACACCACTGTGATGTTAATTCTCCCAAAGGGGAAGCAAAGAGTTTACTAATTTAGGATCAACAGGCTACTTATAATCTCCATGGAAAAAAAGAGGAAGGTAATGGAAGAGAAGGGAAGGGATGGGAGGGGATGAAAAGGTAGTTAACAGATAAGGGAGCATTTTATCTAAAGTAAATCAGAGTGCATTCTAAAATGATGCTCTTTTCTTCTCAGCTGTCAAATCAAAGATGTGAAGGAATTGTTTAGGAGAAGAATAAAGACAAATAATGTATGTTCAAAGACCCAGAGAAAGAAAAAGTCTATGCATAGACTATTTTGAATAATACATAAAACATGTACCAAAAATGTTATCTTTTGGAAATAGACATAAAAATTTAGTCACATTTTAAAGAGATTACTGAAATGTTTTAAGGAGTTTTACTTTTTATCTTGGGAAAATAGGAACCAATCAAATAATTATGTGACATAACATAGATATGTATCAAAGTATACTGAGTGACCATATTTGCTATTGAATAAAAGTTCTGTCAATAAAGAGAAGCTAGTGAAAGGAATCTGGAAACAAGAAAGCTTTTGTGAAGATGGATGTAAAACATTAGATGAGATCTGATGAAAAATAGCTTGAAACAGTGATTTTAAAGGTGAAGACTATTTATCAAATAATTAAAATCCAAACAATGTGATATGGATTTAATCAGACAAAACCTATGAGGTAAGTCTTCAATCCACATTTGTCTCACATTTTCTAAAGGGCACACAGTGTGTGATGTTCTGCAAAGTAGTAGATGATGCTGGCCATAGGGTACTTGAAGGTTATATTTTCTTGTAGAGGGTTGTATTGCCTCAAGAGAGTGATGTATTATATACAGAACTCTCACAAAGGTTAAAGTAGAAGTAGGTTTTACGAAAAACTAATCAAGCCATATTTAAATAATTAAATTTAAATTGTTTCTGAGTACCTCTTTGTAGTAGACATATTGATCTAGGATCCACTTATTTATTTATTTATTTATTTATTTATTTATTTTTGGTTTTTCAAGACAGGGTTTCTCTGTGGCTTTGGAGGCTGTCCTGGGACTAGCTCTTGTAGACCAGGCTGGTCTCGAACTCACAAAGATACACTTATCTCTGTCTCCCCAGTGCTGGGATTAAAGGTATGTGCCACCAATGCCCGGCTAAATAGGGCCCACTTATAATGTTTGATAATATTTGGGCTTTGTGTGCATTTAATGATCATCCAGATATATTTTGTAGCTGTAGTAAAGTGCCAGATAGGTGAGATTTTAGTCAAGAGATGCACACAAGTTTGAATAAGCAGACAGAAACCAATATAGTCCTGAATAACACAATGTACAGAATAAGCAAAGGAAAATGCTGGTGTTGTATGGAAGAAGAAGAGGTGGAAGAAAAGTGTAGTTTGTGTAATTCAGTAGACTGTAGTATCTTAGGAACCAAAAGATGAATGTGGTGGCTGGAGGGATAGCCCAGTGGTTGACAGTTATTAATCTAGAAGACCCAAGTTCTATTCCCAGCATCCATGTGGTAGCTAACAACCATGTGTGACTCCAGTTCTAGAAGATCTAACACCTTTTTCTGGATTCTAGAAGCAACAAACTCATATGGTGCACAGACATACATGTAGGCAGAATTCCCATACATATAAATAAAATAAATGCAACTTTAAAAAAGCTAAGTGGGATTTTTAAAAGCAAAGAGTAACTTTTACTTACAACAACAAAAATATGATTATGTGAGGCCACAACCAAACTACATCCTTGAATATCATTAAAGCAGAATAATATGTTTTGGTGGAATCACACTTTATACTGAACTATACTCAAGAATATATGACAACAGCAAGAGTTAAAAACAATGCTGAAGGGGCTGGAGAGATGGCTCAGCGGTTAAGAGCACTGACTGTTCTTCCAGAGGTCCTGAGTTCAATTCCCAGCAACCACAAGATGGGAAGAAGTAAAATATCCGGAGCTGATATAAGGAGGGTAAACTCCAAAGAGGACCACAGCCACCCTCAAGAATGAGTTTTACAGATGAGACCCTTGCTGACTCCCCACTTCCTGATCCAGAGAAAGGAGATGTGTGGGAGTGTGAATAATATCAGCAGGAGACATGCTACGATTGTGCCTGAAAATGAAAAATTTTGGTTAAGCCAAGAGGTAGAAAAATGTCACAAGATAGGTTAAGAAAAAAAAGAGGACTTTTGTAATTGATATTTTTTGTAAGTGAAGCATATTGGGGGCAGAACTGAAAGATCTCAGTACAGAAGACTGCATAAGATTAGCCTATTGAACAAGCTGGGTAAGATGCTGATAGGCATGAAGGAAAGGATAAATACTTGTTTACATGAGCTTCCATTCTAGGCAATAACAAGGACCACAGGAGATAAGAGATTGAGTGTGCCTATGTTTTCCACAATTAGATTCAGATACATTCATCTAATAAACAAGTGTTGAGCAAGAAATGTGGAGTCCTCATCAGGGATTCAAGCCAAGATTTACACTGTCACTTTAGCAGAGGTCAAATAGGAAAAAAGAACGTCTTGGGTCAAACATCAGAGGTCAAATAAAAAAGAGTATTGGGCAGTTGAAGAGTCCTAGGAGAGAGAGAAGGTCTTATGGCACTGTGACTGGGAAAAGTCAAAGACCATCTGGGAAAATGGTGCCATAGACAAAGTGCTTCCTGCACAAGCATGAGGATTTGCATTCAGACCAACATAGAAGGTGAGCACAGACAGCCTGCTGTCCTGTAATCCCAGAGCCAGAGGGGCCAAACAGGAGCCTTGTGTCCTGTAATCCAAGAGCTGCAGGGGCAGAAACAGGAGCCTGGTATTCTGTAATCCCAGAGGAGAGGCAGAGACAGGACAATTCCTGGAGTTTTCTGGCCAGCTAACCAAGCCAAATTGATGGACTCCATACTTGTTGAGACAACCTATCTCAAAAAGTAAGGCAGAGAGCATTTGAAAAAGACCCCTGATGTCCATCTCTGGCTCACACATGGACATTTACCAACACTACACACAAATATAAGTAAGTAAATCAGTAAGTCAGAGATCCTATTTCCACAGAATGCTTTCTAGGGTCACACTGTAGCCAAAATACACTAATTCCAAATTGAGGTTTAATGCACAGTCTTAGGGCTTGAGTGGAAATGTGGGGTCTGGTGAACAGAAGGTTGTAGAGTGTAGAGCATGCTCTGATCTCCGGGGATCACTCTGAAGAAGACACATGGATTGCAACTAAGACAGAAAGCCATTTTTATTTTTAAAACCTTTTTCTTACATTTTTAAAAGTCATACTAGGCAAAGCTCTGACACTTCTTGAGTACAATGTACAGATAAATGTGTACATGCATTTTAACAGTTGTCTGAAATATAAATAAGATCTGTGCTAGGACACAACTCAGTTTACAATTAATGCTAAGTTAATATCATATATAATTAGAAAACTATATAATTGTGAAAAATCACAGTTTGTACAAAAAGTATGATGGATAAAAACAGCTGATCATCTTTCAACAATCTCCACAATTATCACCTGTATTTTCAAGTGGGCCTGGATCACATGCTAATTGCAGGAAGGAGTGATTTTGCTTGCTTCTTCAGTGTTTTGACTGAGAGCCTATTCCTATTTTGTCAAGTTACCAAGCACACATTCTACCAGTTGGGGCACTGCCAGAAGTGTAGGAAGCAACATGTGCTCCCTGCATTAACTGAAGTTTTAGTAATCCTGATGAAGGTGCTTTCACTTTGTTCATTAAAACCATTTCAAAATGTTTTCTTTGAAATTGGCTATATGTATGTATACATACATATCTCCCAAATTAACTTCTATTTAGGGGCTACTTTTTGCTCTGAAAATGAAGAGGCAGAAGCAACTCTCAAACTAATTAGTGGAAAAACTTAATTTAATCAGGAAAGAACACTTGGGGCAATGTCAGGCTTATTCTGAAAGTGGAACAAGACAAGGGGGAAATGTCAGAGACTTTAATTATCTGAAGCAAAGTTTGAGCAAACATTCAATGCACCGTTGGAGTATAACTAAATCATCTTCAGAGTCTCATTTTAATGTAACAGTTATAAAATAAATAAAATATATAAATGCTAAAATCATCTTACTTTCATCAATGACAAAATCTTTAGTTTTATTCAAAAAGCGGTAGGCATTTGGTTTTCCAGCCACATCTTTGTCATAAGCACGGCTTAGTTCTGTTCCAGGAAGACTATTTTCAGGCAAATTCACAGGGTTGATTAATATCTGAATGTCTGCCACAATATTGGAAAACACTAAAGCTGTAACACAGAAAGACTTAAGTAGAACCAAGAACAATGAAACACTTTACCAACAGTCATTCCATAGGTTTGTGCTCATTACTGACTGCAGTTGATGAAAAGGCTGCATGTAAAACCAAACTAGCATTGGTTTTCCCTTTAAATGACATTTAATGCATTGTTTTTTCTGTTAGGCCTTGTGCAATGAATTTTGACTGAAGACCAAGTTATTCTATCTTTAATTTATTTCTTCATTCAATCAAGCTGTTGAACTATTACCAAGTACAATGACTATTCCTGTCCAAAGGAAATTTCACCAATTTCCTCTGTGTTATTGATCATTCAGTCAAGGAATTTTGTGTTTTGACTTAAACTTCATTTTAATAGAAAGCTTATTACATTTTTATTTGAAACACCACTTCAAAACATCGGTGCAATGCCTTTTTTCATTTTATTTGCCTTATTATTTGCATCATCATGAAAAAAGACTCTGTTTTACTTTAGATGTGACTCATTATAGATTCATAACTCCACACCTCCTCAGCAAAAAGCAGAATAAATAAGAAGTCAAAGAACACTAACTGAAACTAAAAGCATCCAAGTACAGATCCAATTCTTCAATACCCACAGTTGTCGAAAGGCACTATAAACATAATAAATAAACAAAATCTTAAAAAAAAAAGAAAGAAAAAAAGTCCAAAGTCTCTTCTGAGACTCATGGCAACCTCAAAAAAAAAAAAAAAAAAAGAAAAGGAAAAAAAAAAAAAAAAAAAAAATCAACAAATGTAAACTCACCTCCCCATATTAAGAAAATCTTGAAGATATTCATACTCAGGCTGGCTTCTCTGATGCCCACACCAAGGCCTACTAACAAATGTACAATTTTGCCTATTTATGCAAACTCAGTCTTCATACAAGTTAAGCCAGCAGGTCAATAAGCTGTTACTCAACCATGATGACAGTAGATTTACTCTATTTATCTGAGTGACTACGTGCACAGGTCGTATTTCAGCTCTTGTGCTTGTTCCCAAACTAATCTGGTAAGATTATCTGCAAAGCCAGGATCATTATGTACCACACATTTAGTTCACACCTTTCCAGTTGATGGGTGGTTTCCTATGGAGAATTTTTGGCAAGAAGTCAGGTGTTCTCTTTTTTAATCCTTCCTGATCTAGAAAGCCCATGCATTTTTTCAAACCCTGCCAGAGACATTGCAGCTGACATTGGCTGTACAACCACCTCTGTAGTTATGGCTGCTGACTAGTTGCAAGGAGCGACAAGAGCCACACTTCAGTAGCTCATAACCCAACAAACATAAAGAAGAGATAAAAGTAACTGTACCTCTCAGAGAGGAAGTAGGGATCAATAGAAAAGCATGGAAGTTCAGTTCAGAAAGAAACACTTTTAAAGAGAGAAAACTCATCAGAGAGGTAGCATTTTTTTACAGCAAAAGTCTCCTAAAATCTTGTTAGACAAAGGATTGCTTATCCTTCCCAGTATTTATGTGTTTGCATGCTTTTAATATTCATCTGCAGTTTGACATTATTTAGAATTATCCACATGATCTAGAATAAATGTAAAAGAATTACATAATTATTTAAGTATTGTCACACATTTATGATCATAAACACATTGAAAGTGATATAAATATGCCACACTAAAATGTTTTCTGTTTCTCAGCTATTGCAAATGATGTTTTTATAATGTGAATTATTATTATTTTGTGATACTAATGAGATGAAGAGTGAAGTAAATAAAAAGCAAATAGTATTTCTGTTAAAACTCATTTCTTATTTTGTCCATGAACTATTCGAAGAGAATTTTACTTAACATTTTATTTCGAACATATATTTATGCCATATAGAATGCAAAGATAATACAGCTCACTAAATGCCTTAAAATACATTGAAAAATTAATAAACATTCCAATTAAAGTTATAATTTTTATGTTTAATATATCTTTTCTTTTGAACTATTTAATGCATGTAAACAATTATGAACACTGAAATCTCCACTCCCCACTTTGGTTTGCCCTGAACACTTCCTATAGATCCCCTTCCCCTCATGATCTCTGTTTTGTTTGCATAACTCACTGAGTTCAGTTAATGCTGACTGTTGGGATGCTTCGTGGTCTTGGTGGCTTCATCTTGTGCAGCTAACCATAACTGCAAGTTCATGAGTGTAGCAGTCATGCCCACAGGACAGTATGCTGTGGCATTCTTCCCTACCATCCAGTTCTTAACATTATTATCACTCATTCTTCCATAATTCTCTCTGAGCCTGTGTTAGGGTAGAAATGATGATATAAATGATCCATTTGGAGCTGAATGAACATCAGTCACTTATTTTTTGCACAAGTGACTGTTATTTTCGTTTTTTAATGGTTTTATATATTCATATCTGAGGCCAAAGTTCATATGATTGAGCTAGAAAGATGGCTTGGTGGTTAAGAATGCTTGCTGTGCAATAATGAGTGCTACCTCAGATACCCATGCACATGGCAAGCCAGGTGTCTGCACATTGTTAATTTCAACTCTAAGCAGTGTACAGACGTTGTGTGATCCTTGGAATTTCCAGGCTTTCAGGCAAACCTAACAGAGGAGAGTCCTGGGTTCAGGCAGAGACCTTATTTCAAAAAGTAGGCAGGGGATCATAAAGGAGCCATAAGATGCTTTCTTCTAGCCTCCATTGTCAAACCCAGATGTACACACACACGTACATTCACACAGATATTAAGTAATATTTAAAATTCCTATTACGTATATACTTGCAAGTTACTACAGTTGGAAAGGGTGTCAAACTTGTCTCAGAAAAACAGACATAATGGAAGAAGTGTAGTATTTGGCACATATCAAACAAATACTCAAAAGCACTGAATAGCAACAGTTGTAAAACAGTGATAAGGTTTAAAATTTACTGCCATGTTCCATTCAAAATTCCCCTCCTGATATTTGAGAGCTTGTCTAGAGTTTAAATTTGCTATGATAAACAATGGAATGTAGCCTTAAAATACAACCCCCTAACTGAGAAGCTTTCTGCAATTAATAACTTATGGAGAAAGGAAAATGAGTTTTCTTTAATCGAGTGTCACTGGGTACATCATCCCCACTACAGGGCAGACTCTGTGACCAGGAAGCAGCCAGCCAACACAAAGCAGAACCCGTAGTTGTATTTGTCATGTTTTTGCTTTGTATCTCTTGACTAGTTGCCTTTGTTTCCTTTGGCCATTTTTGTTATATTTTTTTTGTATGAGGGGTCGAAAACGGGGGAGCATGAAATAGGATGGGTAGGGAGGTGGGGAGCACCTGGGAAGAATTGGGGGAGGTGAGGAATATAGCCAAAATATATTGTATGTAAAACATCTAAGAAAAAAATTTTAAAAATAGAATGGTTACATGCATTATATATACATATATTTCAAATATGACTTTCTATAATATGAGTTTCTTTATATAAAATAGTTGCTTTCTTATTCCTCCTTAAATGACACATATATCTTTATAGGATTGATACACTATAGTTTCTTATAATCAGACACAAGGTGCTTACATATTATGGAAAATAATAAAATGTATATTAAATTCATATATAAGGACAGTTGCTTAATAATAAATATAAGACGACATCGTATGAGCATTGAAGAATTAGCTATTTACTCTCATCTTTCTTCTTTTACTGTGGTGGTTTGTTTATGTGTGTGTTTCTGCCTTACTTGGCACAAATTCTAAGCATGTTGCTAATTTTCTCTGAGCTTACTTTGCTTCAGCAATGGGTCTGGATTCAGATTTACTGGATGAAATCTGGAGGTGCATTATCACTGTTTCAGAACTAGGGGGCAATCCAAGTCTAAGTTTCTCTCCTCTGCACTATTGGTGCATTTTGGTGAACGAACCAGGAAAAAGTGCCTTGAGAGATTGTTCTCTTCTCACAAGCCTCACCTTGAGGAAAGAGTAACAGAGATGCCTCATGAATCTGTGGTCACAGTGTCAGTTTCTCCCTGCCTTTGGGCAGTGACAGACTAACTCCAGACTCCAGCATCATGACTGTGATTAATAGTGTCCTTCTGCTGTGTCTTAGTATGTGCCAACTACCTATAAAGACACGCATGGCACTAGATTCCCATTAACACTATCTCACTCAAGTTGACTTTTCTCCAAGACTACAGTACCCAGGCACAAGTTAGCTGACTGGGGTAGGAATTCCATCAGAGGAGGCTATATGCTATGCTAGAGTCCCTGTGCTCAGGTTGCCTCAAAGGGGTCACTCTCAGGATCTGCCCAGGGTAAGGTTTTATTTATTTCATTAGTACTATGGTCCGGCTTCAAGTCTTGTGTTTAACAATTTGTCCTACCCTCTGTGAACGGGCTCTAGTGTGCTATTATGCTGCCAGAGGTTTGGGTAGTATTGATTAAGACTGTCCCTTCCCACACAGACTTTTGTTATCCTGAGAATCTTATATCAAAAAAAAAAAGAAGAAGTGTATGTTTTCAGTAGTGTGTAAAACCCACCGTAACTTAAGTGGTAGACCAAAACAAATCCATCTGACTGTGCCATTGATCTCTCTGCCTGTTGCTTGGCCAGTTTTAGAGCTCTGTCTCCATGGCATTATGGCAGCTGTACTATTCAAGGGTGGAGACGAGAAATGGAAACAGCCTTTGGCAACCACAGAAAGCCCCCTGCTAGATCAAGCATGATTCCCAGAGTCTCTAGGAATTACCCATTTTTCAGAGTGGGGTAGATGTGTCACAAGCCTAGTCCAAAGAGGGAAGAAAACTGATTCAGCTAAAACTATAATTAATTTTATCAAGGTACAGGGTTCTGAGTAAAGTTGTAGCAGCTCTTAAAAGTGTTATTTATGAGCTCTAGTCTAAGTATGAGGGATTTCTTTTTCTGTTGGATGTTGGATCTTTTCGTGACTGTCTTGATTAAGAGTCTATACCCTGTTCCCTATAAAGGGGAAATTTCCTCCTGCTTTGAGACTCCAAACTGAAATTCCACTTAAGGTTCCTAACATTGAGTTGAAATAATTTCTTGATTTATTGAATAGTTTAATACAGATGGCATTTCCATTTTTCTACTCAAGACCCTCAGAACTTCAGAATGAGCAAGATGGATCTTTGATGGTTTAATCAATTTACTGATTCAGGCTTCCACTGATAAGTAAGAAGGGTACAGGTAAATCAGCTTGTCCTAGTGCTATAAGTACTTGGAAACATAGCCATACTAAAAACCAGGACATCAAAATTTCCATGGTAAAATAAAATTCATTAATAAATGTAACAAAACCATGCAAGAATAAACTTGCATATGGCACTAGCAGTGAAATGAAACTTGACTTACATTAGCTGTCAAGAAGCAGCTCTTGGCAATGCTTGTATATGAAGTCTTCTATGGGATTTGGGGTGCATTAGTGTTAAAGCAGTTAAGTAATCTTCTATGTCCATTATCCTGCATAGATTCACTTTGACTGCGATACTGGAAGACAGTTCTCCATAGACTTCTAACATCTTTATTAATCTTGTGAACTTAGTACCTGACCACACTGGTTGTTAGTTCTTTGAAGACAGTCTTGTAGGACAATCTTAAAAGATGCATTGTTATCCCCTGGACAGGTGGGGGCATTGGGGGAGTTGCTCGTTGGCCATAATAAGAAAATCTCCTGCATATGTAACAGTCAGTCACACTTGTGTCCTTTGCAAAATCAAGTTCCCTATGCTCACCTCACAGCATGTGTGTGTATCACTTGGCCTACTTTGTCTTGTTTTCAGGGTCATGGGACACAAACTGGGAATCAACATAAATTCTGACATTATCACTTCTCAAGTTTCC